ATCTATAGGATTGCCAAATCTGCAGCTGCAAGAAGAGCACTACGAAGCCTCAAAGCAAATCAACCTCAGGTCCCTAACAGCTGAGACGCCTCTTAAAACAACAACAAAAAAAATAAAAAAAATAAAAATAAAGTAATTTTTTAAAAAAGTTAATGTTGAGAGGAACAAATTGAAGACGGAATTTAAAGTTTGTTTGATAACAGAATAGCTAACAAAACATTTAATGTGTATAAAATTTTGGAACTAATTGTAGTTATAGTTTTTTGCGCAAACACAATCTTGTCTTTTTTCCTCACTTCTGCTTTGTTTAATCACAAGAGTGCTTTAATGATGGCATTTAGCTAGTGTTCAAAATAATTGTTGTCAGAGTTTTTTTGGTTTATTTTTATTGTCAGTACAGCTTTGCTTAGTGTTAGAAGGCCAGGGATCTTGCGCCTAATGCAGATGCTAGATTATACATAATTATCTTGAAATTCCTCAATCTGTGCACTAGTGCCAGTCATAAAACAGTTTTGGAACTGTAATGGATGATTTGGTATGAGAGAGTATAAGTGTGCCAGTATTGTCTCCTCTTTCCCCAAAGTCATCTTTTCATCAAGATGATATTCTCAGTCATTATTGCACTTATTTGTTAGGGACAGGTTTTTAGTTGAAATAGCTGGCATACTGGTAGAAATAAATTTCAACTTCTTCATGCCACATAGTCTTGCATAAAAAGGTTCTTGCCTTAAACATAAATAAACCCTCATTAATAATCTTTAATTTCTGATCTCCTTGGAACAAACTTGTTTTACATTCCCTTCATTTTATTATGCATTTTATGATGATACAGCTCTATATTTACAGTACAACATATTAGTATTGTTGTGACTTAACTTATTACAGGATTATAATAGAAATTGTATTCATGTATATGTAATGAGGTTATTTTTAACAGTTCAGAGGAGGTGTTTAGTCTAAAGATTTTCTTTTCTTTTTGGTACCACAAACAAAAAATGGTCTTTAACTATAATTCCAGTTTTACTCAGACCTGCAAACTAGATAGTTACAACACTTAGAAACAAATAGTAATGAATAATTGCACAGTGAAGACTGTTGCTCTAACAAAATAATCTTGGACATATCACACCTAAAATATGCTGCAGATTTTATAATCAATTGGTTACTTATTTAACAAATAGAGCACCTTTTACACATAAATTTCTTACTGTACTTTTCACAGAGTTGTGTGCATATTTCACTTACCAAAGCTGTGCTGTTAAATGCCATGAAAGCTGATGATTGACATAAACTGCCATACTTTTGATAAATCTGTGATTTAGGTCCTTAATTTAGAGAATCTAGCTCATTATTGTTTTATTTGAAAAAAAAACAACAAATATTTAGACTTTTCCTGTGTTTCTTTAATTAGATTTTTGTAGGCACTCTTCACTTAAATACCTCAGTTCTCTTCTGTTCTTTTCTATTTTGCATGCATTGTTTTTTGTTTTGTTTTTGTTCTGGTGCTATGTTTATATATTATGCTTGAAATTTTAATTTTTTTGCACTGTAACTATAATACCTCTTAATTTACCTTTTTTAAAAAGCTGTGGGTCAGTCTTGCACTCCCACCGATATCAGCAGAGGTTTGCTGCAATTTTGCCCTGTTAATTATGCTTGAAGTTTGAGAAAGCTGAGCAAGGTATTTTACTGTTTTCCAGCACATTGATCTGAACATGGTGCTGTTTTATGTGTTTAAATTACAAATAAATACTGTATTTCCTGCTTTGAAAACCCCACTCCCTTACATATGCACTCTCACTAAATCAACAACAACAACAAAACAAATCCTGTCAGCTCTAGCTTTCTAAATAATAGAAAAAAGGGGGAAAAAAGCCTTGGTGCAAGGAATGGACATTAAGCTTCTCTGAAATACAGAATTTTTATTTAGATTTTTCTATTACAAGTTTGTTTTTTTTAAATATTAAAATTATAATTATTAGAGACCTAGAAATAAATTCCTGGTATTGATAGTATAATAATACAAATACTATGTTTTAAAAACAAAATAACAGTAATATTGGTTCTTCAATCCTTATGAGAAAAAAGAGTATCATGGGGAAGCTGAAAGTTTTGTGAAATATATTTAAATTAAATTTATGCAAAAGAAAAAAAAGAAGTAACTTTATATGAGTAAATTGGTATGAACCATCAGAGTTAAAAATGTACTGGCAACCATTTCTTTCAGCCAGGAGTCAGGATTCTGCAACATACCCACATCAAGTGCTTTATCGCTACTCTGAAAATTCCATGGCGCCTGGCCCAACTGTCAGTTTTTAAAATAAGTCATACCATTCCTAACGCTTAAAAAGAATGAGTTAATTATATTCCAATAGAGAGTATAAAGTAAAAATGGGGGAGGGTGTCTTCCAAGAACAGTAAAAAAATGGGTTTCTTTCTTGGATGTCTGAACCTCATGGAGTCTCATGGTTTTGAGGTAAATCTATTAGCAGTAAAAATAAGGAAAAATTAAACTTTTTCTACCAAGTGTTTGACATGAAGAAAACAAACAAACTGAGTTCTGTATTACACATCTGTATTTCAGCAGTCGTCTATGATCCCCCTTGTTACTGGATAAAGCCTATGAATTGGAAATAAGAAATGTGTAGTGGCTGACTCTAAAGTAGTTTCTGCTACGTTTTATAAATGCCGTAACTCTTTTCCAGTGTGACCTCATTGAAATGTTTCATACCTTTGGGATAGAAAAATCATCTTAATTTCCATGCTGTACAACTGTGTTTTTCACTCTTCAGTAGATATGATTGTGATATTGGACAGTATATGCTATTAAAGACCTAAATCTGATAATTTGAAGGTTGGGATAGAAATCACTTGGCAATACTTTAAGCACAAGTGTAAGTGGACTGTTGCAACCCATCTTCAAAACAACCACACCGACTCCTTATAAATAATGTGGGGGTTACATGGCATGAACCTTGTTTTTGATCTTCTTAGTTCTATTTTACTGTACTTTAAACAGTCCTCCTAACTATGCTGCATTTTTATTTTTATGGCTTTTTTTGCGCTGTTCTATTCATGTAGCACAAATAAGCATTGCACTTGGTACCATGCTTTACCTCATTTCAAGGAAAAATATGCTTAACAGAGAGGAAAAATGTGGTTTGGCCTTGCTGCTGTTTTGATTTACTGAATTTGAAAAAGATAATTATAATGCCTGCAATGTGTCATTTACTTGCACAACTTATATAGGTCATTTGTAATGTCTGTGGCATTTTTACTGTGTATGAAAACACAACAAAGACATGTTATGAAAATCTTGATTGTATTTTAAAGCTATTGTTTTTTATTACATCATTTTTACTGTTATGTGAAGTAATCAAAATTAGAATGACCTCTGACACTTCTGTAGTTATCTCAGAACAAACCAACATGTTGAGCACATAGTGTAGTTTTTACAAGAAGAGAGCCTATAACAATTTGATCAACTTTTAACTAAATCTCCCCTTTTTCTGGATATTGAAGTATCTGTAGTGGCTGCTGAAGTGTTTATTCAGCTTCATGCTGCTAACATTTATATAAAAAAGCCTACTATTTTCAGTCTCATTATATGAAACTATGCTGTGACCACAGAGTACAGAATTTAACAAGAATTGAAGCCCGTCTGAGTATCAGTTCAGAGTATAATGCAGAGCCTAATAGACACAGGGCCACATCCTTAGTTGATATAAATTGGCATGGTTTAGACTGAGGCTTAGAATAATTTCATTAACATCAGCTGAGGATATGCCACTAATTGTTCATGTCTGAGTTTTGGTTTCTGTCCTTGTTTTTAAAAATAGTCACAATCTGAGAAATATGTGTGCTTATGTGTATGACATACATACTGTAAACACACCTATCTATACAGAAAATCTAAACAGCTTTAGACTGCAGTCTTAGCAGCGCTTATGAAGCTAAATACAACAAATTCCCCCATAATTTGCTGTGATGTTACATTTATCTGTATTTGGCCACATCTCATTAACTTTTTTTCCCACTTGAACAGCCTCATTGAAGGTCATTGGATCTGTTATGAATTCACTAAGAAGGATTTTGACCTGTGGTACTTGATTTTTGACACATTTGTATTTTTCAACCACTTTAATTTTCAAGAAGTTAAAATGGATTTATCTTTATGCATTAAATTTAAAAACATAAAACTACAACTTACAACCCTGAAGTGTAATCTAAATATTAGCTGTAGCTTCATCAGAAATATGTTGGCAAATATGAGTAGAGGTCATTGCTGTATATTCCACTAGCAATTAAAATTAACTTGTTTCAAAGGTATTTTTAAAAATATTTACACTTTACCCAATAAGTCCTTTAGAACTCTCCCCCCTTTTAATTTGGATAGTAACCACAGACTATTTAAAATTGCTTTGTAGATGCACTCAAAATGCACTGCAGCAGCAAGTTATGTAGAAAAAACAAGTATTTGTGAACAAGAACTGGGAATTGCAGGTGTTTTTATTGTAAATAGTTTGACATAAAAGATGGTTAAAATCAAGTAGAATGAATAACAAAATTTGATGAACAATAAACCATCACATGCTGCAGCTGTCTTTAAGGGACATAAAATGTAATTCATTCATACTGTAATCATGCTGCAGAAATATGCAGCCTGCACCTTATGGATCACAATTACCTTTAATAGTTTTTTGTAATAATTGTAGCTGAGTATATCTCCAATAAAGTTATGGTCTGTTCATTTTGTGTTGTCTTTCTTTAGTTTAATTAGATTGTTGGAGCTTTTCAATAAATATTAATATTTTATTATTTATAAGCTTGAATCTATATAACTGTCTTTAAATATAAAATGAGCTTAAACAAGACTAGGAAGCAATGTTTGTTCACAGTTTTGCTCTTCTCATTCCATCAATGGACAGTCAGAAAAAAAATTCTCAAGGTTTCTTCATTTATTTTTTAAAAACCATATATACCTCTTAACTCAGATGTGAAATAATGGCCCTGAAGCCACAACTGGATCTGTGTGGGTGTACTCTTGCATCTGCACAAAGTCAGTGGTATACGTTGTATGCACTGAGATCTGTCTGCACAGTTGGGATAGCACAACGTGGACTCATACTTTTAAGAAACAAATTTGTTAACCAACCTATGCTAATAAAAAATACATCGATGTAACATTTTTTCTATGTATAGTGTTTTTGTTTTGACATCTCGGTCATTTGGGATACTGAAAACAGACTAGTCCAGTTGTGCACTAGTTTTATTGCAAAGTTTAAGGAGTCACAAGAGACATGTCACCTATCAGGGATTTGCTCTCCCTTCTAGAAAACTCCCCAGTTTGATCTGCCTCTTGGCATCAGCAACAGGCAATTTCCAGTCCTGCTTTCCCCTAAACTACAGAGCATAAAGAAACTCCTACTAAACTGCCAATATGGCTCCACCATTTCCCCCTTTCTTTTGTGAGAAAACCTATCTACCTGGGATTTGTTTTGTGGCACTAAGTGAATCTTTCTCCACTGCATGCAGCAGCCTCTTCTCTACTCCCACCAAGCTCAGCAATCAAGACTTCTTGCTCTGCTCATCTCCTCTACAGCTTTCCAAGCAAGATTTTGCATTCTTGGCTCTCAGGAGCAGTCTCTGTCTTAATGCTATAGCTACCTATCTGAGCAACTATCACGACTGACTCTGGTAGGCAAAGTTCCCTAGGCTTTGATATCTTTGTCTAAGACAGTGGTTCTTAAAAGTGTGCTCAGGGCTTGGTTGGAGCATGTGAGCTGGCTTCTTGCTGAAGGGGGTAGGTGGTCAGCCTCAGGGGCCAGATCTGGCTTGCAGGGAAGGAAGTGGCTTGGAGCACTGCTGCTCCCCCTCCTCCGAGCTCGGGGAATAGTAGCTCAGGAAACGACTCATCCAGAGGCTTTCGCCACTGCTCCCATTGGTGGAATCACGGCCAACGGAAGCCACAGGGGGCAGAACCTAGGAGCAGTGAGAGGCATAGAGACAGGTAAGTGCTTCCCATCCCCTGTATGCCCAGATCCCGCATCCGCATTGCCCTTACACAACCATTCCCGCTGAGACCAAGCACCCCTACCCCACTCATGCACTCAACCTCCCACTCAGACCCACCACCCCAATCCTGCACCCTCCCTCCCCGATACCCCCACTCCACTCCTGTGCCCTCTTTCCTGCACAGACCTCCCCCCCATCCTCAGTCCACTCCTACATCCTACCTCCTACCCAGACCCCCATCCTCAGACCACTCCTGCACCCAACCTCCCAGCCAGACCTCCCCATCCTCAGTCTGCACTGTACCCAACCTCATAGCCAGACCCCATGCCCTCACTCCCTCTTGCACCCATTATGTCATCATGGGTGGTTGGCTGGTGGTCTGCATAAAGGTCTGCGTTGGGCAGGGTGAGTCATGGGCCAAAAAGTTTGAAAACCACCGGTCTAGGGGGACAGTTGTTAGGGGCACAAAGTTTGCTTTAATCCTACTCCGCCCCCCCCCCCCTTCCCCATCGCAACATGGCTGCCTTAAAAGGAGCATTAAAAGCAAATGTGTCTGTTCAAGATTCTTCAAGGAAAGCCCTGCTGATGGGCATGCTGGTGCCAGATTGGGGAAAGGACTCAGCAGTCCAGAAGCAGCCTTCTCCTGCAACAATTTGCCTTTCTGCCCTCAGACCAGATAACTTTGCTGTTAATTGTGGGATATCTTGCCAACACGCCTACTATATTGGGTGGAAGTGCTTTTCTTCAGTGGTGCTGATTGACCTTTCATCTTCCTACAACTCCACATGTCGTCTGGATGGCTTTTAGTAGGGCAACAATGCACATCTTGCATCAGCCTTTTCAGCTGCCCTCACCATCTCAAGGAGGGGCCCCAACTTGTTGATGGGACCAATCCTGATAGGATTAGACCAGTACTTCTCAGTGTGAGTGGTCAAGATACAGAGGCCCTGCACCAGAGCTGTGGCAAGGGCATCCCTTTTGATCTCTGTATTCAAGGGCCCTCAGAAAAAAAAACCAAGACAAGATGAAGTACAGAACAACCCTTAATTGGAGAGGAGCCGGTCAATTCTCTGTAACAAGAACCTTCTCAGGACAGGTCTACAATACAGTACCACTTAAGTCAATCTAACTTACGTCGTTCAAGAGTGTGAAAAAAACAGCCCTCTAAGCGACATAAGTTATAGTGACCTACACGCTATCCGCATGGGTGCAAATGTCAGCAGGAGACATTCTCCTACTGACATAGATTCTGCCTCTCATGAGGGCAGAGTAATTATGCTGACAGAAGAGCGCTCTCCCATTAACATCCTCACCAGAGGTGCTACAGACGAAGTCCCTCATCCTGTCACATGAGGATATTTATAGTACAGGGCTTTCCAATATATGATTTATTTTTAATTGACCCATAGCTAAATGTGTCCCTGGTTACCCCAAGGACCTTCCATACATTCTAATGTACTTCTCAACATTGCTGTCTTTCCCTTACCTTACTTTGTGCTTTTTATTTGAAAATAAATAATGCTGCAGTTGAGATAATTACCTACTGCTAACTCGAAAAGTACCTCGCTGGGGCCCAATCCAATACCCACTGGAGTCACTCCCAGTTGGGCCCTTAACTTGCCTCTCTCTCAAAAAAAATTATAAAAATAATGTGAATTCCAGATTCCAAATTTTTAAAAAGGGTATTTCAGCAACAGGGCAAATTGTTTGTCAGAGTTCTGGGGTACGTGCACCTTTGGCCCTTTCATGGCTTCTTCAAGGGCACTTACTGGGAATTCCCTGTTATTTGCAATGGCACATATTGCCACTCCTCTGACAGGAGACTTTTACCAAGAGAGCAAAGTCCTGGTGGAAGGGTTCATGGACTTCAAAGCCAATCAGGATCTCCATGTGAAAGATGAGCGCTTCCTGGTAAGCTAAGCATGTGAGCATAGCCTTGTATTATATGCTTTCTCTGTAGTGCTTTAGTCCTAAATACATGTACCGTGAAAGCTGGCTGGTCACTGCCGTAGCTCCTGAAAGAGAGCAGAATGGCAGGCACCAGACTTAGTTCAACTTTCTCCTGCCTAATACCTGGCCTAAGTTACGCAACTCCAGCTATGTTAATAATGTAGCTGGAGTCAACGTACCTTAGCTCGACTTACCGAGGTGTCCCCACTGCGGGGAGTTGATGGGAGAAACTATCCCATCAACTTCCCTTACTCCTTACTCCTCATGACCCAGCAAAGTACCAGAGTCAACGAAGGTGCCATGAGCAGTCAATTTAGTGGGTCCCTATAAGATCTGCTAAATTGAACCCCAGGAGATGGATCTCCAGAGCATCAATTTCCAGGTAAGGAAAGATAAGCCCTTAAGTTTGAGCTCCTGGGATAAGCACCAAAAATTAAGAAGGGAATTGCAGCCTAAATCCCTGACCTGAAGGAGAGGAACAGGAGCAAGTCGCTGCCCTGAGAGTGGGACCTCCAGGAGGCTTCAAAGGAGTCAGGGAGCAGTTGCCCTGGAACTGTGACAGTACATGTTTCCTATTTTCCTTTTCCTTGTCCAGTCTGGTATGTGGATTAATGGGCATAAAGTTAACCAGCCAGACACTAATCAGTGTAGTTAAGTAAATAGCTATTTGTGCCCTACGTTATTTTGATTCTTTTCGGGGTGGCTGTGGGGGAGGGGAACAGCCTAGAATTCCTTGGGGTTAATTTAATGGATTCCATTTAGTCAAATCTAAAGTGTTGAACTATATGAAGAAGTTGCAAGATCAACACTTCAACTGCTGCCTTTCTGAACATTTCAATACAGTTCTCAAAGGGGCCATGCATGTTCCCTTAAAGAAAATGGCTTTCATATGAGTGTTCATGCTCCAGGAATGAAGTCCTGGGCCCATTGAAATCACATAGGAATTTTGTCCCAACCTACGGAGTGCCAGGAATTCACTTGGTTCACAAATTCATATCTGTGCAGGACAGAGGGCGGGAAAAGTCTTGTCAGTTGGGCCACCGGCATGCAATCATTATCAACCTAAAAGCTTCGATTCTCATATACCTTTGACATCCCTTCTCCAAAATCATGTTCTTCCATTTGCTTATGTCATTAATTCTTAAATTATATGGGTGAAATCCTGGTTGCATTGTCAATGGCAAAACTCCCAGATTTCGCCATTAGCCAGGATTTCACCATCTGCCTTGATTTCTCAAATCAGCACTATTCATACAGCTACCTACACGTTAATAATTTTGTAACAAATTTCAGTTAAATTAAACTGTTTTCAGGATGATATGAATATTACAGAATAATGTTCCAGCCAGCAACATGCATTGTCCTCCCATTAGTGTCAGGTATTTGCATGTGCTCCAGGCAAAAGATATCTTGAGTTAGCATTATACTGTATGGGATCAAATTTATTGCCTGGCCTATTCCACATACTATAAAGCACCTGTCAACAGGTTTGCCTGGAGCAAAGACCGCAAAAATCACCCACACAACCCCAATTCCACCAAGCAGCCTGAAATCAGCCCCTGGAGAGTATGGAGAGTCCCAGCTAAGAACCTCAGCAAGGTTTCAAAGCTGCCCTCCCTTGTGGAAACCTGTGAGGCCAAGGGGCTGTGTTGCTGGCCTTCCTTGGTATGAATCCCCAGTGGGGCACAGGTAACCCCTTCAGGTAAGGTGGAAGGGTAACATAGACAATGCCTCCCACCCATTCACTGGGGACAGGAGGAAGAAGAGCAGGAGGCTGAATCAAGCCCATATTTTTTATGCACGTGCACTCCAATGATGTACCTCGTACAAGGGCATTAGGTGAAGGCTAATGGAAAATATCAGAATAGCGATGTATAAAAGGTACATTCTTAACCAAGATCAGTGTGTTGTCTCTCCTTGCCTGAATTCCTGGTGTGACCATCTTCCTTTGCTGCTGGCTCCTGACCCCTCTCTTGGTTTTGGAACTCATAGAAGGAACTGAGTCTTATCAGACAGGTGTCAAAGGCAGAAAAGACACTTGGGATATGTCTACGCTGCAGGGTTTTTCCGAATAAACTCTTTCGGAAAAAGGCATGTGTGGACGGGGAAGAGGTGTGTGGGTTATTTATTTATTTTTTTTTAAAAGAGGCCTCCAGGAAAAAGCACAGGTGCCTTGGTGGCCACTCCATCCATAGTAATCACAGCTGAAATGTGAGAGAGCATCCAATCAACGTCAACGCTATCTTTCGAAAAATCAGATCGCTTTTTGATGCGCTTTTGCTGTGTTGGATGCTCTCTTTCTAAAGCAGTTTTTCCAGAAGATCTCTTCTGGAAAAGCTTCTTCCGAAAGAAGCCTGGAGTCTAGACAGAGCCTCTGAGAGGAGAGGATTTTGTCTGAGTGGCAGGTGTTACCTGCCGCACACTTTAGAGCACTCTACATTTGCCCCTCCATACACCCAAAGCATAACTTAATAAATTTAAGCACCCCACCCTTTCCTAGTTCCTAGGGCTCCAGCCATAACCTGGCTAATTTTATCTACCGGCTCTTACCCAGTTGGGGTGTATACTTTTGTGGATTTGCAGGGCTTTTTACCAGTGAAAGAGCTTTACACAGTAATATCCTTAACCTCTGTTTATTAAGTTACCAAAACAGAATACAGATGCTAAGCCTACTACAGGTGAACTGTTCCTGGTGACAAGTCAAAATAAAGTTGTCCGGGGCTCCTCCACCTGCCAACTTTACTGTGCAGAAACTGTTCCTGGTGACAAGTCAAAATAAAGTCCGGGGCACCTCCACCTGCCAACTTTACTGTGCAGGATTTTTACGTCTGGCAGCTCTGATTTTTGGGCTGTGTCCTAGAGTAAGGATCCAAAGAACTTCCCTTTGGACCCAGTTTATTTAGTTACATTTGAGCCTTATTTAGCAATGCCTTAACCAATAATTATAAACAAAAGTACTACAAAAAACATCATTTTTCACCAATCCTAGCCCATTATGAAACAATTTAATTGCACCACCTTAGTTGATATAAATTTTGCAAAATTTGTTATGTAACAGACAGAAACAAAGAATCAGACAGAAACCATACAGATAAATAATAGAGAAGTAAAGACTATGAAGGCAAAGCAATAAAGAAGCATAGATTTCTCAACCACACAAACTTTTGCTAAGTGATTCCTTGCCAGACATAATGCACCAAACAGCATTTTCTTTCAGCATCCTAAGATCTCTTTCTTGACCTGTTAGGCCAGCACCACCTTCTTTGCAGCCTAATATTACACTGTTTTGATGTAATTTGAATAGACTATGTGGATGTAACTCTCTTTTTTGGCCACTGCTTCTTGCCAAAGAAAAAGGCCTCTGCCCTTTACAGCAGGAGCAGACTGTATTAGTGATCTTTTGCCCTTGGTCAGTTTAAAATGCAAGATGATGACTATATTTAATGTTTAGTGGCACATGGATTCAGCACCTTTACCACAGGAGCAGGATCCTAAATCACACTCTGCAGCAAGCTACCTGCCTTGTGGCACAGCAAAATTATTTGGCTCGAGAAAGAAAAGCAACTGGTGCTTGTGATTTCAGCTGCCTGGTTGAGGTAAGATGGGCTGATGCAAATCTATTTGAGATTTAACTCTTTGGACAGATGACACAATCTTAAGCTCCCTATCCCTCTTGCGCTTTGATGGCCAATTTCCAATTGAAACAGTGGCCTGATCATAAATCTAGACACTCCTACTGCTGTCACCAGATTATTTTGAACAATTTAACTGTGGGCTCGGTAATCCATTCCCCAGATTTCTGCTCCATGTGTGTCTGCTGCTATAATAGCCCAAAATTCCTTAGGCTGGATTCCCCCGGAATGTAATTAGCAGCACATTTGAGGATTTTGGGAGCCTCCATGTGGTAACAGTAGGTACTGCAGACTTGTTCATTTCTCTGGGAGCTAGACAACCAGAGATAACTAACTACAGGATCTGATCTGCAGTCAGCAGCGCCCTTACTAGCTCAGGGTATGTCTACACTACCGTCCTAGTTCGAACTAGGAGGGTAATGTAGGCATACCGCACTTGCAAATGAAGCCCGGGATTTGAATTTCCCGGGCTTCATTTGCATAAGCGGGGAGCCGCCATTTTTAAAACCCCGCTGGTTCGAACCCCGTGCAGCGCGGCTACACGGGGCACGAGCTAGGTAGTTCGAACTAGGCTTCCTAGTTCGAACTACCATTACTCCTCATTCCACGAGTAATGGTAGTTTGAACTAGGAAGCCTAGTTCAAACTACCTAGTTCGTGCCCCGTGTAGCCGCGCTGCACGGGGTTCGAACCAGCGGGGTTTTAAAAATGGCGGCGCCCCGCTTATGCAAATGAAGCCCGGGAAATTCAAATCCCGGGCTTCATTTGCAAGTGCGGTATGCCTACATTACCCTCCTAGTTCGAACTAGGACGGTAGTGTAGACATACCCTGAGCTAGTAAGGGCTTCCATCCTCCAAGCAAGCATCATCCTTGCTTTAAAAAGCGTATCTGCACTGCCACCTTCCCTCAGGATTTACAGCATGGGAGTACAGCTTTGGTTAGTGGTTGGGGCTTCATAGAAGCCTTGCGAAGGGTGGCTCTCCAGGCACTGAGTTAGCATGTGTCCCAGTTAACTTGGTGACATGCCTCTCTTGCCCGAATGTGGCTGACTTATATTATGCTTTTGATCCTTGGACATAACTGTTTTTTCTTCCTGTCCTAAACTGTCCATCTAATCTGCCAGCATGTGTACCTGTTGTGTACCATGACTAGGCTGTCTTACTGCAGTATTATTGGTCCTTATGTTTAGAGCAGCAAAGTGGGTGAGGTGCTATTAAAGCACATTCCCCTCCATAAGTGATTGGTTTTCCATGGTGAATGAACTTGGTCCCTAGTGTCTGATTTTTAAAGTGCTTTGGGGTAGAAGGGGCTGTTGTCCAAGATATCGTAGAAACAGGAATCAATGCAGTTGGTGATAAATTTTGAAACTTTGTTTAATATAGTATGGTGGGTGTAAATCCAGTGAATTACTGTAGACATTTGCTATGCAGTGTATCTTGATTTTTTTTTTACACAAAATGTGATTTATGTGATAGCTTGGTAATATTTCATATTGGACTCTTATGCACTATAATTAGCTTTTGAAATCTTAGTCAATGGCTGAATTGTTTGCTGGTCAAGTTCTTATATAACAAGGTAAATGAAACCGCACTGGAGAGAGAAGGGGTCTACGGAAGTGGATTTCAGATTTATTTTTTAAAGCCTATGTTTTAAAGAAGCAGAACAGTAGCTGCGTATTTGCTAACTGTATTTTAATATGCATCTATCTATACGGATTAAATTGTTCTGTGAAAGTTTGTGTTCAAATACAGTGTTATTAATATTAAAATCATGAAGATATATCTGTATTTGTAGATATTCATTGCATTTCAGAGTATTTGTCGTCTTTGGTATATTTAAAATAAGATACCAAAGCAGTTTATTCCAGAACGTAAACTCATAATTTTTTGCTTTTGTTGTACCACAAACTTAACTCTCAAACTTAAAAAAAAAAAAAAAAAAATTCCACCGTCTCCAAGGAAGAGAGAAGTGACCCATTTCTGTTTTCTGTCTGATTTTTACATTGCCAGTCATGTTTCCTCATGAGTTGGAATGAGACTGAATGATGCAGCCATACACTGTTTTATAAACAATTTTTAT